CTTAATTGAACTGCATCTTCCACTTATTTTTGTCTCTCATTTACTAATTTTATATATTTACTGTTTCTCATAATCCTCACGCTCATATCTCCATAATCTCATTTTCTTTTTGTATGGCGCATGTTTATTCCGGTATTCATTCACACCAAAAAATAAATTATTATTAGTATTAATAACCATCGTCTAATTAGGGTATGATTCGAAGCTAAGTAATTGAACTTAAACTAAGGAAATAAGTTACATTCCATCTGGATGTATATATAGTAATTATTACATTATTGTTAGGCACAGATTCGTGTACTCGACTTAAGACTTTACTTTATTTCTGAAAGCCAATGTTTATAATTGGTTGTCAAACTGACTTAGATGGAGTGGCATCATTCAAACTTGCAATAGTGATTAAAAGTCCAACATCTATCACTGAACCACCTCTCTATAGTCAAGTATTAACTATTCGTATATATCTATTTCAATAACACACAATGATTTGTTTGTTGAATATCAATTATATATAATAATAATAATAATAATAATCATCTCATAATAGAATTATTTTCTTAACTAATTCAATACTAGATGATTTATCAAAGAGAGTAGATGATGTTGAAAAGAATATTGGTGATATTATCAATAGTCTTGATGATGATAATAGTAATGAATAATGATAAACATTTATTCAATAAATTTCTTTAATTTGATCAAATTGTAAATGATCATTATTGTTGTTATTTTCAAATTCTTGTATATGTTGTGAGGAATTTATCTTTATTTTCAATGATATAATATTATTTATATTAAAAATTATAAGTATTTTATTGATTTATTTGAATATATTAATATTAATACAAAGGGGTACCGGATACATATGAGAATGGGAGGAAATAAAGAATGTAAGGTGTGTATAGAAAAGAAAAAAGAAAAATAACGACCACAAATTATTGTATGTTAATGATGTAACAATAAGAACGGGGAAACAGAATGGTACAATCAGAAAGAATTCTTTCAGTTAAAGAGGTTACAGCAGGATCGACACTGGCTTCTATTCTGAGTCATATCTGATAACGTCTCTAGCCACTGTATTACACCATCTCTGGGACCTCAACTAGGGAGTCGTAAAAGACCGACAGAGGCCAGCCCTTTGCAACTTTCATATCATGACACCATGCCATACACTGACCACCTACGCTTTTTCCAACCAATCCCAGCGTCGGCAAATTATGCACGACGAGGTATTCTCTGGGATGACATTCATAGAATATGTACAAAATTTGTGTGATATATTTATTTGAACACATAAATATTGGTACACAGGGCACCGGATGCATATGCACCACACAAGCTACCTGACTTGTGAGCTGTGGTACTGCAGGGTAGCCCAGACCAAGGTAGATGGTTTCCTTGCTGGGCCATGCCCGGAACCTTCAACCTAAAGGTCTAATCCACAATGCAGTGGAGCAACGTAAGGAGATCCAGTCCCACGGTTGCTAGTGACCAACAATAGGTTCATACACCATTTGTTTCCTTAGGATTGTGAAGCCCATGTGCACCACTGGTTTGGAATAAGGGTTTTCCAACTCCCCTAGGTGGATGCTTCATATTCACTAACACGGTTAAAGCGTCGGACATTGGCTTTTCATTCTCTCAATTTCGTAAACAATACCACCACAGTGGCCAGAAAGCAATGAGTACGACTTTCCTGACAGCAGCTGTATACACGTACCAGGGGATTTGAAGGCTTATGTGAAATTCAAAAGTTAACACTTTAATTGAACTAAAAAGAAGAAAAACAAGCTTTCTTTTATATACGTGTTTGTTTTTTGAGTCATTTTATTTAAAGGATCACTGTACATGGTTTTTAAGTAGCAAAAATTTAGATTAAATATGAAAAGTTTCATATGGAGTTGATTATAGTCATGCAGAAGAATGATCGTTATCAACTTGCGTAGCTTTTGTTTGCTCTTCAAAGGTTTAAACCTAAAAAAAAAGTTCAATGTGTTTGCTGACCTTACTCTATGATTAACCTTAATAATTGGATAATTAGAGTAAATCGTTTGATGTTTTTAAGAAAATTCACCAACTCTAGTTACTGAAAGCTACTTTATACATAAATCATCGACCGATGTCTTGTATTTCCTGATATGAGAGCAGGTTGGTAACTAGATCAAAGAGTGGTCATTTTGGTTGGTGGGGATTTATTGCTTGTGATTCCCAAGATAAGCATAATATATAGTTAGATATTTCGGTTGAAGCAGCTTACAGACGGTTCCTGTACTGTAGGTATATTTAGTTATGTAGCTTCATCTACGTTGCATTCGTTGCCGTCAAGTTGTATTCATCTCGTTAAAAGATAGTTTGTATGAAGGACTAACTGTTACTGAACAACGAAGGAACACGAAACAAACGTCTTGCCCTAGTTTAAAATTTATCAGGAGGGTTTGTGACCTCGTAACCTTCAGAGGCCCTAGCGAGCACCACAACGAGTCGTACTGCAACTTGATTAATACGGTCCGGTCAGGGGCATAAGCTATGTAAACGTGACATTGATTATTACGCAACCACCAATCAATATAAGTATTTTAGTTTTACAAAAACCGAGTGTGGCCCGAGTAACTCAGTTGTAATGTCTCTATGGGACTGGATGACATAGGCTCGAATTCGATGAAACATATGACAGACTTGTGCCCACCATCACGAAACTCATGTCGAATCATTTAGGCAAATGACCACAATGCCGACGTGTGGTCAAAAAGATTTGATTTGCAATAAGGAGAAGACAGTGACATTAGTTACCACTCATTCAATGTTTATGCTTCTGTTTTATCTATTTTGTCGTGTACCATACAAGTTGGGAGTTATAAAAGAGAATTACTAACCTAATTGGATGTCTGTAAGAGTTCAACAATAGGAATCGGATCTGACTGTTAACTAAAGTGTATCTACCAAAAATTATGTAAACAATTGTTCTATGTAAATTTACATCTTAGTGAATAATTTATAACCCGAAGGGGTTTTGTAGAGATTTTGGTAAATTTATAGTTGAATTCATGATTCAAGTGAAGCTAGACAGGCATGGAAAACCTGAAAACACCGTTGGGTGCCGGTTCAATGGTCTAGAGGTTAAGCGTTCGCGTGCGAGACTGATAGGTCCTGGTTCCGAATCTCGCAGCGCAAGATCATGTACGAGCACTGCTGAGGCGTCCCATATTAAAACGGAACGGCCGTCCAGTGCTCCCAGGCTTTTTATGGTGATTCAGCTTCTATTGCCTCATGAATTCAACGATAAAATAATTTATAAATTGAGTTATTAATTCTCATTTCTTGAAATAATGACTTAAATCGATGTTTAAAACAAGACACCACTGTATCAATTACCATAATCAATTCGTCAGCAACAACGTAGAACTTCGTAGGTTCGTACATCAGTTCAAGTTGTCATACTACATTAACACACACACAATTGTCGATTCAAATCCCATAGTAGTAGAGGTAGTAAAAGTATAAGCAATAATCGGTAAGACCAAAGTTTCAAAATGTTATTCAAGAAGTATAATCCAGTGAAATAAATTTGGAAAGAGAATAAAATAGGGGAAATGAAGAATTCAAAAGATTAGAATTCGGGGGAACACAAAGACTGAATGCACCTGCGCCATCGCAAACAATTTTAAGCCATGTCATTCAACATCTCTAACCATCGGTTGATATCATCTCGCCGATCGCAACCAGGTAGTAGGTGTAGACCCACCAACATGTCTCAGCCCACTTGTCAGTGACTTCATGGATTTTTGCTCCTAACTTTCTTCCAACTTACTCGTACACCATCGAACACCGCACATCAGGGCAGTCGGTGGTTTGGCACACGTAACACATGTACCAGCCATCTCAACTAATGATATTTCACTACTTCAATTGATTTGCTATCCTTATCTAGTACCCGTATCCTAACAACGAGCAATGCTTCGAAGACACCTATAATCGAATACTGGCAACCTACGAATATCTTCTACTCTTACCATCCATGTTTCACTGTCATAAAGTAGGACGAAATAGACTGCTGCACATTGACATATTGAGTCATTTCAAACATAATTTATTTGAAACGTATCCATATACTATTGATTACATAACAATTGAGTAACATCTATTCATTCATAGTTTTATTCATTTGTCTACATGTTATACATTTACATCTAGATACTTTATATGACTGAACTGCGTCACAAGACAAGCCCTCACATAGAATACTCAAGGTCGAAGGAGGAGTGGAAGATCGAAGAACACATTACGCCGGGAAATGGAGACAGACATGAGAAAAATGAACAAGAATTGGATGGAACTAAAAAAGAAGGCCCAAGACAGAGTGGATTGGAGAATGCTGGTCGGCAGCCTATGCTCCATTAGAAGTAACAGGCTTAAGTAAGTAAGTAAGTAACTTTATATGACTTACTAATTGAAATTAAACAAAATTTACTTCATAAATCAAATCATAAACAAAAAAAATGAAAGAAAAAATCATTATTATTATTATTATTTTTATAATCAATTCTTAAATAATTAAAAAATGTGTAAATAAAGGATACCTGTTAGAATAAAATAAAGTTGTCATAGTAACTAATTGATTTAAGAGGATAACATGTTCTGTATCTATTTTTATTCAATGTTTGTAACTATGGTGTATTAATTAGATAAACATTCAAAAAAAAGAAGAAAAGAAAAAAGAAAGAAATGATTATATCCTTCATATGAATAAGTTGGTAGAAACATGGAAAAAGCCAACAACAAAACTCAAAAACCCCGAGGTTTTCGAGTTTTGTTTTTCACTATGGTACATAAAATGGAGATTCGAATTAATTGATTGAATATACGAATCAATAAATTTCAATGAAATAATTAAATAGTTACAAAAAAAAAATTTAGTTTCTGTTGTCATCACTACTATCACCGCCCACCCACCCACCACCACCACCACACCACTTATTTATTTATTTATTTTTTTCCTTTCATTAAACATCTTGAAATATAATTGCTAATCGACGCATAACAATAATCAATAAAGCAATAGCTACACCAACAGCACATACTGTTGCTGGATGATATGGAACAAATAATAATGTAGATTGTCTATTATTCTGTTGATTGGATTGATTTATTAATCTATGATGTAATCTATCTATTTGTTGTATTTCATTATTATTCTTTGAACAGGATTCATGAATAGTTTCTATAGTGTTATTAGTGCTAATAGTTTTTGGCAATGTATTATCAATTAATGAACTATTTGAATTAGATGATATATCATATTCATTTGAGTTTGTTTGTTTCATTGAATTATATTCGGATGGTTTATCAATGAAATTAGATGAAGATAACTGTTTAGTAACTGACTCATTTTTGGATTGTGAAGAAATTGTTCCAGTTATTGGATGAACTTGATTTTCTGATGAATCAATCCCCTCTTTACTTTGATTTGCTGATGATAATGTTTTTGAAGTTGTTGGTTTAATGTTTTCATTGCTATGTGATATATAAGTAATTTGAGTAGTATCAATAATGGTAGTAGTAGTAGTAGTAGTAGAAGAAGAAGAAGAAGAGGAAGAAGGAGATACTGTATCTTGAACAGAAGTACTAGAAGATTTTTCTTTCTATTAAACGAAAACAAAAATCAAATTAATTAGTAATGAATACAGTTTGATTGGTATCTATCTCAGTACAATGAAAGATGGTTGCGTAATTTCGTGGATTGGTTGAGGTTAGACACTAACACTATTGGATACCGGCCGGCTCAGTGGTCCAGTAGGTTAAGCATTCGCGCATGAGGCTGAAAACCCTGGGTTCGAATCCCACGAGCGAGATTGTGGATGCGTACCGCTGAAGAGTCCCACAATAGGACGAAACGGCCATCCAGTGCTTTTAGGTTTCTAACGGTGGTCTAACATTAATCGGTTCATGATCTTAATCAAAAACTTAATAATCTCCACAACCTCTATACTGACTTCTGTACAATTGTTCTCTTCACCCTGACTATTGAAATAGCCAACAATAGAATGCGTACTGAATGAGGTTACTCTCTTTTTCCTGTCAATGTACTTCTTTTAGACAGAAGTTTTTCCCCATCCTTTTTTTATTGTTGCATAACTGTTATTAATATTCGACTACTTATTAAGTTATCTTTTTTTCATTTCGTTAGTCCTATCATATTATGCAATAGATATATTATATAATGATATACTGCGATTCATTCATTTACCAAGTTATTTAGATATATTCAATGTAACGATCGAGGATACTCTCCATTCTTGTTTAACTTTATCGTTGACGTGCTTTTAGAGATAACAATCTCCTCATCTAAGTTTCTAGGATTTGAACTTTTACCGGGAATCTCACTTGTTAACTTAGAATATTCCGATAACATAGTTCTATTTGGTGAAGACGCTGACAAAATCCAGGATCTTCTGACCACTCTCAGCAACAATGCAGGCATGTTCGGCATGCGATTCTCCCCCCTCGAGATGCGAAATGTTGTTTCAGGATAGGGTTGAACTGACACCTGAACTAATGATAGGAAGTGAAGTAGTTTAGCGCGTCGACCGTTTCACTTATCTCGGGAGTCCCATCAACCCTTGTAGTCTAGTGTCTGACGAAATCTCAGCACGGATACAGAAGGCTCAACTAGCTTTTGCCAACTTGCGTCATTTATGGTGAAGGACAGGTTTACTGCGCAGCAGTTCGTTCCGTCCTACTTTATGGCAGTGAAACATGGCCGGTAAGAGTAGAATATATTCGTAGGTTACTAGTATTCGACCACATGTGCTTTTGAAGCATTGTTCGTATATCCTGGGACCACCAAGTAAGCAACTCAGTTGTTAGGAAACGGGTACTAGGTAAGGATGGCAAATCAATTGATGAAGTAGTGAAACTTAATCAGTTGAGATGGCTGGAACATGTGTTACGTGTGCCCGACTACCGACTGCCCCGACGTGCGATGTTTTATGGTGTAGGAGTAGGATGGAAGAAAGTTAGGAGCAGCCTGACCAAAACATGGCACAAATCTATGAAGTCACTGACAAGTGGACTGAGACATATTGGTAGGTTTACACCTACTACCTGGTTGGGATCCGCGAGATGATAGCAACCGATGGTTAGAGACCTTGAATGACATGGCTCAAAATCGATTGCAATGGCGCAGGTGCATTCAGTCTTCGTGTTCCTCCGAATTCTAATCTTCTGAATTCTTCATGTCCCCTTTTTTTTTCTTTTTCCAAATTTATTCCACTGGATTATACTCCTTAAATAACATCATCAAACCCTAATGTTCCTGATTACTGCCTGTACTTATACTATCTCTACCAATACTGGATTTGAATGGATAACTGCATCTTTGTGCCAATGTGGTACGGCAACTCGAACTAATGTACGAACGTACGGAGTTCTACGTTGTTACTGACTGAGGGTCTAGAACCTATGTGCATCGGTTCAAGTTGCCACACTACATCACAACACCAAGATGAAATTATCAAGATAAGGGTCAGAGTATTAGTAAGAGTATCGATGGTAGCAGAAAATAATATGGATAGACAATATTCTTTGAGAAGAATCAATTTATGTACCCTACCTTTTAATCATTTGTAATTACTTTCATAAACGCTTCTGAGTTATAATTCAAAACTAAATGAAAAGAATTACTTCTCGCTTCGCTTTCTAAGTATCATAATGCAACAGTCTGCTCTGTTCTACTTTATGACTTTGAAACAGTCTATGAAAGTAGGAGACACAAGCAGGTTACATATTTTTGATCATAATGATCTTTAAAGTATTACTCCAGTTTCTTGGAACGACCGACTGAGTAATGCTGAGGTTAGGCGGAGAATACTTGGCAAATGTGGCAAATCGGTTGGTGAGGTGATACATCACTGAATGAGGTAGTCGAAATGTCTGTTAAGTATACCTAACTACCGCTTACTTCGAAGTGGGATGTTTGTGAGTACAGGAGCAGATGGTCAAAAAAGATGTGATCATTACGTGAAGCCGTTGACTGTTGGTTTCAGAGATAACGGGAGTTGTAGACTAGTCGGCTGGAGAAGGTGCGATTACCGTGATTAATAGATGAAGATGTTGAGTAACATAGCTTATAATTAGTCACAATGACGCATATTTAATCACTATTTACCGTCTTGTCACTTTTGAATTACAGTATCCCTCCATATATGTGTTTCAACTCTGCCTATTCACATCACATTGTCACGGTTTAGTCTCTCCCAACTTTGATAGTACCTTGACGCGATGGTCCGTCTGCCTATCGTGATGAACCAATCGAGCAATATTGGCTGGAACAATCGTTTCTCAAGGTTCTACCATACCAGACACGTTGGTTGAAGAGCGGTAAGACTACAAACAGCACGCCCAAGGTCCGAGGGCGAAGTCGTACTGCTGACTGTACAGAGGTGACAGCATTAAGGTGTTTCTTTGAGAAAACCAGCATAACAGCGATGCTACATTCCTACAAGGAAAGGTTGACCCTAAAAATACCCACTTCCTCTTATCCCACGGATTTTCGTCTACGGCGGTAAGGTCTCAACAATTACGGAACTAACATGAAAATTACTCACAAAAATGTAATGTGTGACCGACCTCAAGCAGTTGTCCCTTAGGTACTGTGGTCACGCTCTCAGATCACTAAGGCCACCCCTAAACCCATCTCCCTTTCAGGTACCTCCAGAAGAACCCTTCCACGGTGTAGACAACCGGGAAGTGATAAACGCCTTTATACCTCTAACAGCACTCAAAACCGTTATATTCTTAGTTTAGTCTCTATACTTATAATCTATTTTGCTATATTTATCACACAATACTGATCAAATATTGTAAATTGAACCGATGCACGCTTGCACTAAGTTCTATATTGATGACGTGAGATTGTCTTTTCTTTTCGCCTTTTTCCTACATATCTGGATGGGAATTTTCGCCCTACTGAATTTCGAGTTTTATTCCATTTACCGGAGTTTGGAAACAACCGGATCGACAGCTCTTGGACTAATAATATGAGGCCTAAACTCCAGCATATAAAAAACTGAATTTAGTTAAATAAGTTATTGCTTCACATAGTAAATTACTCAAACTAAAACTAGTTTGGAAATTCGATTAAATTAAAATACGTGTATAAATAACAATAGTGAATTCAATCAGCACATTACATTCGATGGTATGATACTACGGTCACTAAACAATAATCAATGTAAACATCTTGAAAGTAACAATGTCTGTAACCATGATATTAGAAAACATGTGTTCATATCCTGTGAATGCTTCTTCATGATTCAAATACCCTGCCTGATAATGAGTGATAGTTATTGTGAACCTAAAGGTCTTGATGTTCAGAAAGACTAAGTTGCAAGAAATTTGAAAAAAAATTTACAATATTATGATTGATTTTGACATTTTCTCAGCTCTCCCTCTCGAAATGCTCTCACATGACCACGTGCATACAACCACTGACAGAAAAGTCCTACTCACGACCTTCTCCTAGATCAGGTGTTGTTTACGAGATTGAGAGGACGAAAAGAGAATGTCCGGCGCTTTAATCAGGTTGTTGGACACGGAAAGTCCATCTAGAGGAGTTGGAAAACCCTCATTCTAAACCAATGATGCACATAGGCTCCAGGATACTAAGAAAACAAATGGTGTATGAACCTATTATTAGTCACAGGCTACCATGAGACGCTGTTCTACTGCCTTGTGGATTAGACCTTTAGGTCGAAGGCCCCGAGTGTGAGCCCCTAAGATAACCACACGGGCAGTATCATAGCCCTGACACAAATCGAATGGTTTATGTGGCGCATATGTATTTGGTGCTTCCTTTTATCAATGTTTATGTGTTTAAATAAATAAATGTCTATATGACAATTATTTTAGTCAATATCTAAGATCAATCAACTAAAGTTGTGATAACCGGATTAAAGAAAGTATTTCGTCCTGTATGTACTTCAGACCCATCATTTAGATATATTACAGTAAAACAACTATTCCAACTAAATAGTGCATATCCACTAGAGATTGAATCCAGGATTTTTAGTTTTCAATACGAATGCCCAATCTCTAAATAATTGGAAATTCATTTGGTATTGTTTCACTTGAATCTTTCGATTGATGTTTAGGACTACAATATATCAGCTTCTTATTGACATATGTGCATACCGCCTTAATATTGTCTTAAGCCACATGCATTATAAGCAAAAATGAATAATACTTAGCAGTGGAATCCATGAAGCTCGTTTCGTTCAATCGACGACTTGTCAGCTAGATGTACTGGCATCTGAGAATTGATATTCACCCTGAGGATTCGAATCCTGTACCATTCGTGTCATACACCTATCACATTATCCACTTAGCTTAGGAAGATTCAAGTAAAGCAATATCAAGTTAAAATTCATCCATCCAGTTGTGAAAACAACAACAACAACAACAGCAACAATCAAATTTACTAACAATAACTTACTATTATTATGGATGTATCATATTGTATTCTATCTATTTTCACTTTCATATCTAATACATCATTATCATCATCATCATCATTATTAAACTTTGCATTGAATTGAAACATTCTACACTTAGTAGTGTAAAATGATGGAATGATATTTATTTCAGTTATATAAGTAAATTTAAGTAGTATATGTATATATATTGATCCTTGAACTAAACTGGCTTTTTTCATCAATTCACGTGACTTGATATCAATTTTACAGTTTTTAAACGAAGAAACAATAAACTGATCAATATCTCTCTATTACACACTTGGAGCCTTCGACTTAGAGATTTAATCATGTATAGTGAAAGCCAGAGCGACTTATGCTAATCCAGGGTATCTTTAGCGCCTTCGTGATGTTAGTTTGGCTATGAAAAGGTTGGATTTACAATGTGTCAGTGAGAGCAGTTTTGTTCTATAATTGTGAAATCTAGCCTCTCTAAGTTGAGAATGTTAGACGACTGACTAACTGTGTTTGATCATTATTGTTTCCGAAGAATTGCTAACATCCAGTGGTAACACTATGTTAGTAATACAGAGGTTTGGCATTGTGTGTTCGAGCACACAGACCATAATTCAATTGGTGTCACTATCTAGAAACATCGACTTCGACGGCTTGGTTATGTCTTATGAATGCCATTCCGGAAAATTCCAAGTTGTGCATTATTTGCCGACGCTGGGACTGGTTGGGAAAAGCGGAGAGATGGTCGCTGTATGACATAGTGTTGTTGTATGAAAGAAAGATGCACAGTACTGGCCTCTGTTGGTCCTTTACGACTCCTTGGTTGGGGTCCTAGAGATGGTGTAACACAGTGGCTAGTGACGTTATCAGATAGGGTTCAAAATAGAAGCCAGTGGCGATCATGTTGTAACTTTACTCCTATAAGTGGAAGAATTCTCTGTGGTTTTACTTTTGCTAATTGAACTACCTCTCCCATTAATATTATTTCACTACCATACACTAATTTCTGTTGATTGTTGTACATCTTTTTTCTTACATTCTTTATCTCTCTACATTTTCGTCATTATTGTATGGCCGATGCGTATCTGGTGCCACTTTTTACCAATATTTATGTGTTGAAATAAATAAATAAAGAGGTCTAATCCACAAGGTAGTGGAGCAACGTAACGAGACGCAGTCCCATGCTAGCCAGTCACCAACGATTGGATTCATGCGCTATTGCTTCCCTTAGAATACTGGAACTCATGTGCACGGTTGGTCTGGAATCAGTGTTTTCCCACTCCCCTAGGTGGACCCGGTTAAAGAGCCGGATATTCGCTTTTCGTTCTCTCAATTTCGTAAACAACACCCCAGAGGCGAGAAGGAAGTGAGTAAGACTCTTGACAATGACTGTATTCGCGTGGCTTTGTAAGAGCATTTCGAGAGGAAGGGCGGACTCTTCCCACCCTCGGTCGTACCAGGGCATATTCTTATTTAAATAAGACAAAATAGAAAGTATGGTAGGATTATTTTGAGTCCCTCAGCTTAGTGGTTACCTACCGTTTTATAATCCAATCGATAGGACTTGATTATTAGTCAAGAACTAGATTTGTGCCAAAACATGGCACAAATCTATGAAGTCACTGACAAGTGGACTGAGCCATGTTGGTAGGTGTAGACTACCTGGTTGGGGACCGCGAGATGATAGCAACCGATGGTTAGAGACCTTGAATGACATGGCTCAAAATCGTTTGCAATGGCGCAGGTGCATTCACTCTCTATGTTCTCCAAAATTCTAATCTTCTGAATTCTACATGTCCCTTTCTTTTTTTCTCTTTCCAAATTTATTTCACTGGAATTCACTCCTTGAATAACATCTTCAAACCCTAGTCTTTCCGATTTCTGCTTATACTCTTACCACCTCTACCACTATGGGATTTGAATCGATAACTACATCTCTGTGCCAATGTGGTATGGCAACTCGAACTGATGTACGTACGTACGAAGTTCTACGTTGTTACTGACTGACTAGACAGCAGTTAGTCAATCTAGGCATCTCAGTCCTACAAGAAATCACTCAAGAGTCGAATAACTCAGTAGTAACGTCTCAGATTGTGTGTGATTGGACAATACAAACTCTATTTCTATACATAGCGTCAGTTACCTAAAAGCTTCAGGTACACTTCGCTGATTAGTGTCAACTAGGAAAAAGTTATATACATGCACTTATTTATCGTCTAGGAATGACGAATAATAACGAATAGTGTACATTAACTGAATTCAGTTTACTGTAAGGGTGAATACAACTGGTGAAAATGAATTATTGTATTTCATTTTAATGATTATGTAAGTATTTGTTTACATTACTTCAGTCATGACTGATGATAGCCTTAAATTTTCTGTATAACAATGTTCTGAAGTATCTAGATCCCGAAATTTAAGATTTGTGAAGAAAAATTGTAATTAGACTATAGCTATCATAGGAGTACAAAATGCATGTTTCATCCTGTTTGTGACTTAGCGACTAGATGTACTTACTGATAGCATAGTGTTAATATTAACCAGAAAACTAGAATCGATCTGACAAGTCCCATGTAGGAAAAAAAAATGGTGTGTATTCTAGACCCCAATGTTAGCTGAAATCCACCTTTCCTACTCACTGCCTTCTCGTGGCGGGGGTGTTGTTTACAAAAATGAGAGGAAGAAAAGCGAATGTCTGGCGCTTTAACCGGACCCCAAACCAATGGTGCACATGGGCTCCAGTATCCTGAAGGAACAAATGGCGTATGAACCAATCGTTGGTCACCGGCTACCATGGGACTGCATCTCCTCACGATGCTCCACTGCCTTGTGGATCAGACGTTCAGGTCGAAGGCTCAGAGTGTGGCCCCCTAAGACAACCACCTGCTTCGGTTTGGGCACCCGGGCAGTATCACAGCCCTCACACAAATCAAATGAGATTTGTGTGGCGCATATGTACTTGGTGCCTCCCTGTACCTATACTTATGTGTTAAAATAAAATAAATAAAAAAATAGTAATATCAACGGCAACCAAATCAAGAAATAAATATTCACACAGAGACTGATCGTTTGCAATCCTTACACATAAACTTGTCCTAGTGATTAGGGGATAACTGGTGAATAGTGAATAATACTAAGTTTTTATAACATTTGTAGCATATTTAATTGAGATAGGGTTTTATCAACAAAAAAATCAATAAAGCACAAAGATAAGCACACTTGAAGAGATTGAGTATGTTACTACTGCTAATTGCTTATGATAATTGAAAAAAGTGCTCAATATTTATTAATTAATTAGTTTAAGGTCATTGAATTCTTTCTACATAAGGCCTCTTTCTCCTAATAGTTGTTTAATATCTATGCTATGATGAAGACACAACAATACTTACTCGCTTACTTACGCCTGTTACTCGTCGTGGAGGAGCATAGGCCGCCCACCAGCAATCTCCATCCAACACCGTCCTGGGCAATCCCTTACAGCTCTTTCCAGTTGTTATTCATCCTTTTCATATCTGCTTCTAGTTTCTGACGTAGTGTGCTCTTTGGCCTTCCTCTTTTCCACTTCCGTTCAAGTTAGGTCTTGCCTCGTGATGCAGTTTGATGATTTGAGTAATGTATGTCCTATCCCATTTCCATCGTCCTTTCCTAATTTTCTCCTTAGATGGAAGCTGGTTAGTCCTCTCCCACAGAATGGTGTTGCCGATGGTATCCGGCTAATGGATTTTGAGTATCTTGAGTGGACAACTATTTATAAATACTTGCACCTTCCTGAGGATGGTTGTAGTAGTTCTCCGAGTTTCAGCTCCGTACAGTAGAACTGCCTTGACGTTCGTGTTGAAGATTTTTGACTTTGATATTGGTTGACAGTTGTTCTGAGTTCCATATGTTCTTCAATTGTAAGAATGCGGCCCTTGCTTTGCCAATCCTTCCTTTTGCGTCTGCGTTTGATCCTTCTTGTTCATAGATGCTTCCCAGATACGTGAAGAATTCTACATCCTCCAATGTTTCACCATCAAGTGTGATTGGATTTGTGTTTTCCGTGTTGTATTTGAGGACCTTGGTTTTCCCCTTGTTATGTTGAGGCAGAGCCACAACAACATATAAATGAAAATGGAGATTTACAGTGTGTAGTCTTTCCCTGTATGCATGTGTTAATGTGAGGGAATTTCGAAGAGAACTAACTTTCGCCATCCCCGGCCGTACCAGGGCATTTGGGGGCAAAACAAGAAAGGGATTATATTCATAAAAGTTTTAGAGATAGAAATTAGAAATGATTCCAGCATTTCGTTTGTTAGGCTGCTATGAGAATCACTGAGATTTTCATATATATATAAAAAATCCCTTTTCTAAATATTGATCACAACTGATAAGTTCATTCTTGTAGGAAGATTATAGATATCCATAATTTACAACTATCTTAAGCTAAGAATATTCATGTGTTCACTAATGACTGATCTCTAGAGGTAATTGACGGATTTCTGTCGAGAAGTGACCAATGGAGTCCACGCATATCTGCTGCAAGGTAGTTACCCATCAACGGCATTGAAGACTGATTGCAAGAAATTAAAGATGTATTCTACTGGATGCTCACCCAGTTTTCTATAGATTAGGTACTTGCCATGAGAATTGGAGGTTTTGCGTTCAATCTCAGGTAGGGTTGTGAATATACATTACTTAAGTTTTCCGTGTTAAAATCAAACAGTTGTTTAGCATTCAATGGTTACAGAACTAAAGTCACTTTAAAATGTGAAGCATAATATTAATAATTAAAAGACATTATCAATTCAACTCACTTGTCGAATTTCCTTTAACCATTCACCAAAGCTTAAAGGTACACGTTCCCCACTAGCTGTACCATTATCAATTGTTGAATTCAATCCAGTCGCTACTGATGATGAAGAGTTTGTATTCATAGGAAATGGTGATACAGGGTAATATACTGGAAAACATAACCAATATGCAATTTGTGGTGTTATATTTTCATTTCGATAAGGATACATATATGATGGAAAACCAGTCCATAGATATGAATTCATATTTTCAGTAATGTTATCAGTATTACTTTGAGTAGGAGAAGATAAAGAAGGCATTGTAAATGGAGTAGTATATGAAGAAGTAGACGGTGTTAATGATGGATTAACTAAATTCCCAGATGATAAGTTCGATTGTGATGTAATGCCCGAGAGAGACTTTGTTCGATGATCATTATTGCTAGCAATAGTAGTAGTAGTACTAGTAGTGGTAGGTGTATTTGAATTAGTAAATGCTTTTTTATTCCTAAATTCTTCCTCACTCTAAAAGTGGAACCAAGGAAACAAAAAAGAAGAAGCAAGAATAATCATTAATGAAAGTGAACGGATCAAATTCATTCAGACTTAATATATTCAATTGAGTACATTATCGGACAAATGATATTAGCTAATTAACATAGAACTAGGAGGAAATGAAGCTGGAGTTGACTAAATGACAACGTAACATTAAACCATAAAATCATTAGTTACTGTTGAAGTAACCTTTGTTGATATATTGAAACTTCTTGATTTAAATTTACGGGATATTCTTCATGAAGTAAGCAATGACAATGTTTTCTAAAATGACAATAAACGTACTGCAATTAAACCGTTTAGAACAACAAACTCGACATTATAAGGATACATTTGAGCAGTAGAATTATTGATCATCATGTACTTCAGGAGATCTCTGAGTACTTTCCTGATATTTTTTCTCAGTTGACCGTAATATCATTTCGCTTAATATTTCGTAATGTTGTCAGGTGGTCTTTGGATATAAGGTTAGACTGTGGTGTGAGTGAAACGAGATATTGGTTCGTGATATCAACTAGTTTATATTAAAACTAGTCTTTCTTCCCTTCACTAACTCTTTAATTTGATCAAATAAATTCGGAATTTGAGTGTCTGTGTAGATTCTGAAGAACATGATGATCAATAATTCTACTTACAATAACCTACGACCTCATGGGTCCCGTTTGCCCCACATGTGTGGTTTACCAGAAATACATAAACAAGGTATTCCTCTTAGACCTATTCTGTCAATGGTCAATTCACCCTATCACAAAGTTGTACGATGGTTAGCAAATAAGTTAGAATCAGTTCGATGATGTAGCAATGGGAAGTCCGTTAAGTCCTGTCCTAGCAGATATTTTCATGGCTAACCTCGAAAAAACCAAGCTCAAAGGAGCGATTGATGAAATGATGTATTATTCGAGGTATGTTGATGATACCTTCATCGTATATGATAATAAACAACATTGACCATTGACAGAATAGGTCTAAGAGGAATACCTTGTTTATGTATTTCTGGTAAACCACACATGTGGGGCAAACGGGACCCATGAGGTCGTAAGTTATTGTAAGTAGAATTATAAAAAGGCACTTGTTAAGACACTGCTTCATATAACAGAAAGAATATGTACTGCTGATATATTAGAAGGGGAAGTAATGGATGTGAAAAGATGTTTAAAGGATAACGGATACCCATTGAAGTTTATTGTGATAAATGGAATGCGTGAAGATAAAAGAGACCCAAAGAATTTACAGTAACTAAAGCAAAACCTATTTTTATTCAACTTAAATTCAAAGATGATGATGTCACAGGGTCAATCAATATGAGACTAAAAACTGCATTGACAAGAACTTATCCTGAAGCTAAACTGATTGTCCTGTCCAAAACAGCATGTTCTTTAACACAACTGAAGGTCGATTGGTATCCTTTTCATGTTACCATCAACAATGTATACGAATTCACATGTATCTGCCAAGACAGTTACATTGGTATAACAGAGATGAGAACCTACGTCCGATTCAAAGGACATATTCCGAAAAGTTTAATGTCAAATGAATTAAAAGCATTCAGCAATGCCATCACGAGACATCTCCTTGTCACAGGACATGAAGTCGATACACTGAAGTCTTTCGAAATGATTCATAAACAATCAAACTTCAATCTTTTGAAATTTGCCGAAGCGATTGCAATCATATGTCTAAAACCAGATCCATGTATCCGGAAGGAGAAATCTTTCTTTGCCCTGGTAACATCACAGTCTTTCTGATGTTTGACTACATCATTGTCACTTTTCTTCAATTCATATCTTTTTTCATTACCATTAATCTATTTTCAGTTATTTCATTACATAATCATCTAATGTTTGTTAATTCCATGAATTCTAATCACTAGTTAGTTGTTCTGGTAGTTTCCTTCCCAAACTTTATTTATCTAAAACAAACAATTTCTTATGACCTTATTGACCCTAATCGAATCATTCTTACATCATGATACATATAATCATCTTTAATCACCCTTCTATGTGTAATTATGTCAATATATGTAATAACATTGATTAAATAGTTTGTAAGCAATTGATAAAAATTCAAAGTTTTGCTAATAGTCGGTTGGCTATCTTGTTAAGCGTAATTTTGTAATAAAACCTTGATCTAAACCATTAATATAATTATTGTACTTTTTTTTTAGTCAAGCACAGTGTAGAACCTAATGGGTGTATACATTGGTTCAAGTTGCCATACCTTATTGGCACAACGAGATGAAATTGTCAGGGTAAGTTCCAGAGTAGTTGGGATAGTAGAAGTATTAACAACGATAGAATAGACAATGAAGATACGATCCGAGAAGTAAATGTAAATTAGTGAAATAAAAAAACTTTGCAAGGAATTAATAACTTAGGATCTAAGGGAAGATAGTGAGTGAAAACACCTGCGCCATAGTGAATGGTGTTACACAAAATCTCTAATCGTTGATTGCGGTAGTCCTGCGGACACTAATCACGTAGTCTACATCTCTTAATATGGCCCCAGGCCAGTTGTTAATGACTTCATAGTTCAGTGCCACATCTTGGTCTAGCCGTCCATAGCTTTATCACAATCTACTCCTACACACGACGACATCGCTCATCATGATGGGCGATAATTGGCTATACGTGACACCATAGCTGGTGAAGACTTACTACCTCATCAATCGATTTTCTATCTTTGTATATTGACCTATCTCTAGTGCTGGCTAGTGTTTACACGGTGGTCTCAAAGTACACAAGCGATGCTTTGAAGGTGTACTTTATGTAGGTAAAACAAATAGATGACTATGAAAATTATGTAACAAAAATATGCATAACAACAACTTAAAAAACAGTCCCAAAAGTTTCAACCTTTTTAATATTTGTCCCGTTATAATAAAAACAAATGAATGATGAAGAAAGAAGCAAAGAAATTACCATTATAGATATTTGAGCAGCAGCCTCACTGGCTTCTTTATTCATTGATGATGAAGCGGTAGTTAAGGGCAGAAGTAAATTGTTAGTTGGTCCACATATACTGCAAACATAACTCAGTGATCTGGAGTAAAATTAAGCGAAGTAAAATAATAACAATATTATCTATGATAATACCAATTAATATGAGATATTACAAAGCTGTGAGTAATTTATTTGTTTACTGAATATAAGTTTAAGCATTTCTCCAACAGTGTTCAACGTTTTTCAATATGAGAGCCGCGATGTTACTATTCTTTTGTACAAGATAAAATGAAGTGAAGTGGGTATTAAACTTGAGTCAAATGGTTAAAGATTGAGTGCTATGATTGCTAAGCCGATGCTGATAGCCAGAGGGATTTTGGACATACTAAGTGTCTGCGCTAACAGGTTATCTCAAGGTCGAACAGCAGGTTAGAAATTGAAAATGAGACACGTTATTAGGGCTAGTCGTTTATACACTTGCTTAAGGTCTTAGCCCATATGTCATTGTCTGGGTCGGAAGTACAAATGTACGTACAACAATGACTTGTGAATTGTCAATTACAGTTTCTGAAACACACGTCAGTTTCCTCACTCATATTACCGGCTTCACAGGAGAATAGAAAGCGTGTATATTTGGACTTGTTATTTATTATTATTCAAGCACATAAATATTGGTACAAGGAAGCATTAAATACATATGCACCACATAAATCACTTGATTTATTTGAAGGCTGGGATACTGCCTGAGAGCCCAAACCAAAACATGTTTCCTTAGGAGGCCACACCCGGAGAATTTGATCTAAAAGTCTAATCTACAAGGCAGTGGAACAACGTCAAGATCCAGTTCCATGGTAGCTGGTGACCAACGATTGGTTCATACGCCATTTGTTCCATCAGGATCCTGGAGCCCATGTACACCATTGGTTTAGAATCAGAGTTTTCCAACTCGCCTAGGTGGATCTTCCGTATCTACCAACCCGGTTAAAGCACCGGATATTCGCTTTTTGTCCTCTCAGTTTCATAAGCAACACCACCGTCATGTCAAGGCAGTGAGTAGGATTTCCCTGGCAGTGGTTGTATGCAAGTGTCCATGTGAGAACATTTGGAGAGGGAGAGTTGACTCTCTTCACTCTCGGCCGTACCAGGGCATTTGGGGGGCTATATTTAATTAGAACGTCGTGGATGGTAGGACAGGCTTTACACAGCTTCATGAAAGCTGAATGTGATGTAATTAGGATATTAGCTACATATGTCACAATATGATAAAAGAGTACGATGTTTGACATATATCAGTTCGAGTTTTGTACAATCCAATCATAAAGTACAGCTTTGTCCACGCCGATTAGGGACATAGGTTTTGTGTGTTAGTGAAACTGTTTGGCTCACCAAAGTAAATAGATATAAATAGATTTCTGCAGAGATCCGCTTCATGATCATGAAAAAGTCACCTAAGGTGGTATCAAATATATAATCCACCCGAAGTTTGCATTGCCATTAACTGGGACATTTCAAATAATACTTTAACTAATCTTCTGGAACAACCGGATTGGCATAAACCCCTCAAATTTTAGTGAATTTTGAAAACCTGTAGCTAAAGGGTCCTACATTTCTTGAGTCACATTTAGTAAAGCTCCAACTGGTTGTTCAAAGTAAAGTAGAGAGAAAGTTTTGACCTGTAATCCAATGGTTGAAAATCGACTCTTTCAACCACGAAGCTAAAAGTGCTTACATAATATTATTTGAGTTACCCTTTACTGACAAATTAATATTCAGAGTATATACTATCTGAGACATCAAAATGATTTCCTTTCCTAGAAATCAACAATAATAAATCTTGCTAACTTATATCCACAAAATATACTGGTTACTTAGTATACTGCTGTGGCCCAGAAGACTCTACTCATTGAATTTAGTAAAAGTTAGCTACGAATTAATATTCGTTATGATCACGGAATAAAGACAGTGGTTTAGCAAAGTTATACAAATTTGAATAACAGATTTATAATCCCGAAGAAATTCTCTGACAACAATATTAAATATCTATATGTGATTATACAATTGAGTTATATCAGAGTAACATCTTTTACACTTCAATGTCCAGTAAAGAATAATGTTATGGATAGATCTCCATTTTATTATGGATTTTGTTAAATACTTTCATACTTCTACAGTACGTGTGTCTTAGTCACATACAACATGCTTTGGTAACTACTTCTATAAACAGCTACCTATCAGGTTCCTTTAAAAAAAAAACTCATGTTTTCCAGAAGAACACCAACCTAGAACAGGATTTAAAATCTTAAAGCTGATCCATTATTTTGTGATAAATTGCTGAAGAGATTCGCCTTCAGGTTATGATGAACTTACCTAAATTGAAAATAAATTCTTAACATACTTGAAGTATATATTAACATTAACTAAAAGGTGTGAGTTTTTAACTAGAAACCACAGCAGCAATGGTCTTGTAATTCACCTATGTTTTTAAGTAAAAATTCTAGAATCTACAAAATATTCCGAACCTAATTGTAACTCATTTTTATATTGGTCGTTTGATTCCATTCATTTATTTCTAGGATTACAACTGATCAGTCTCTTATTGGCATACAAGCATCCTATGAGAATTGCCCCGATATTTCCTGAAGTCACAAACATTATAAGCAGAGATGGATGGTGGCCGGCAGTGGAACCCAGGACGCGCGCTTCGTTCTATTTGTGACTCGTCAGCCGGATCTACCTGCATCCCAGAGTTGATGTTCACACCGGAACGCGCGTCCTGGATTCCACTGCTAGCTACCATCCATTTCTATTTATAACTGTTAAAGACAGAGGTTTTGTCTTGGACAGTACATTAACTGAAGTGCTGCTATGCGGTTCACAGACAGTTGACGTCACCCTGTTGGTTACGCTATATATTTTTAGACTAATTCGCTACGTAGAGTCCAGCGGGCTTGACCTTAAATGTAAGGATTTGAGATACTAACTGTTTGTTCAAACAGAAGTAGATGGGTTAGGGTACGAACCCGCGATTTGTTCGTTGGTATTCAAACACCCAAACAATTGAAATACCGCTCCACTTTACATAATGTAAGATTTCCTCGTAAGAGACATGAAGGAAAAATCGCATTAAGAGTGAAAGTTTTGTTAGGCTAAGTGCATGAGTGCAGAGCCCAAAAGACAAGTGCTTGAGATTATTAATATTTGATGAGGCAAGCAATCAATGCAAATTATCCTACACACAATCACAAACGTAAGATCCACTTGACAAATGAGCAAAAGAATATGACACACTTGCGAGCTAATAATTGACGTTCTTCTTTTGGTTGATTAAGAGAACCGATTGCACCGACACCATGAGTAGGCATGAATCCAATCAACGCTAACAATGCAGTACGAATAGACCATGATGGTCTCCATGATTCGGGATGATATCCTGAAATACTTAAACATATTTTTCGATGTATTTCAAAACGTCCATTTGGCTGAAGAAAAAAAAATGGTGTGCAAATAAATATTTAGGAAAACTTTATATGTACTTAAGAGAACCACAATGCTATCGTAACAAAAAATGCTTGATAAAATAATATATCAAGAAATGTATCACAAGAGATAAAACAATAATGTGAGGAAATAAAGAACAAAAGTCAAAATCATACCAAAGAAGATAGTTTAAATAAAAGCATTCATCTTAAATTTACTATGTATAGTGTTGGAAAACACAAAATTAAATTACAGCACGTTCGCTACTGACCTCTACTACGAGCTATATTTACAACATTTCAGGATATTGAATTATATACTTTATAATTCAAACGAGGCTGTTATTCGAGCTAAAAATGTCGGTTGGAGAAAATTATTTGTTACAATGCTACACCACTAATAAGCTGTATTTCTACCTTTTCAACTAAGTTATATCGTCAAAAAACAGTGCCTGATAATGAGAGCTACTGAGAAGTCACCCGAAAAACGTTTCCAGGCCACCGAAGACCATGTTTTGAATCGATCTGAATGATTGACGAGTAGTTCTCACTACGCCCAACTACAAGCTGTTGAACTTTAACATCATTTACATAGTGCTGCTGTTGAGTTTAAGTAATGTTGCGATAACTTAATCTATCCTGTTACTATGGGATGTCGTGAAAATAGTTAAGCTGCATAGTTTAAATAATGGACGGGTCACAGTTACATAATCACGGGGTTGATGGTGGTTATGATGACCTGAGGCGTGATCGCAGTGCCCAAGGTAAAACTGCTTGAAACTGGTTGCAGAGTGCTTTTGTAGGTAGTTTTCGATGTGCAAGCTCAATACTTTCCACGCTTATCATCAACACTACAAATTCGTGGAACAAGGTGAGGTGTGAAACTTTTAGGGTCGACCATCTTTTGATCCCTTTACTTTGAGATAAAACCACTGGAGGTGCCGGCTATCCGTTTTAAATACCCTACTGCTATCAAATGTTAGCATGTTTAACGGTATGACTTAGTCCTCCAAATGCCCTGGTACGGCCGAGAGTGAAGAGAGTCCGCTCTCCCTCTCCAAATGCTCTCACATGGCGGGGGTGTTGTTTACAAAAATAAGAGGAAGAAAAGGAAATGTCCGGCCCTTTAACCGGATCCCAAACCAATGGTGCACATGGGCTCAAGGATCCTGAAGGAACAAATGGCGTATGAACCAATCGTTGGTCACCGGCTACAATGGGACTGCATCTCCTTACGATGCTCCACTACCATGTGGATCAGACCTTCAGGTTGAAGGCTTCGGGTGTGGTCCCCTAAGAAAACCACCTGCTTCGGTTTGCGAACCCGGGCAGTATCACAGCCCTCACACAAATTAAATGAGATTTGTGTGGCGCATATGTATTTGGTGCCTCCTTGTACCAATATCTATGTGTTAAAATAAAATAAATAATAAAGATTTGCCATTTTCTAGCTTACGGCTATTCAAGAGACAAATTAAGGTCGACAAGACGTACTCTATCCAAAGATACTGCTCAAATTCTTTTGAAGGTAAAATGAAAGTAGTGCACTGATACTGAGTATCTATAAGTAACTTTACTGATGGTTTAAGGGAACAGAGAGAAATATAGTATCTCCGTACTCATAGTTAGGGAATAAAAACATAATCAATGAACCTAAAATGGCACCAAAACTTGGACATTCTGTGAATCAGTCCTCTAGGTTTTGTACAATTTTTGCAACATGATAGAAGCCAAATAATCTGTGGATAACGGGTACTAGACTTGCACCAAAATGATTAAGACATTGATTGAGTATGCCCTTCTTAAGATGGGTACTACAACTAACGGTACATAGTGGAACAAAAATTTCAGGTCAAATTCAGTAGAAAAACTAAGCGACCGATAAACCGAACAACCGTGGAGACCGACAACTATACTGTTCGTTGGTTTATGAAGCCACAACTAGAGCGTTTCTACTTATTTATATACTACTTATACACTCGTTTATAAAATTAGAATATGTCCTGGTACGACCAATGATGGGGAGAGTCAGCTCTCCCTATCAAATGCTCTTACATGGCCACGTGCAAAAAACCACATCATGAGAAGTACTATTCAATGCGTTCTCGCGGCCGGAGTGTTGCTTACGAAATTGAAAGGACGAAAATAGAATGTCCGGAGCTTTAACCGGGATGGTGGACATGAAGGGTTTACCTAAGGCGGCTGGAAAACCTTCATTCCAAACCAATGGTGCACATAGGCTCCAGGATCCTGAAGGACCAAGCGGCGTATGAACCAATTAATGGGACTGAATCTCCTAACGTTGCTCCACTTCCTTGTGGATTGGACCTTTAGGTCGAAGGCTCGGCGTATGGCCCAGTAAGAGATCACCTTCTTCGATTTGGCGATCCGGGCAGTATTCCAGCTTTTGAACAAACCGAATGCTTTGTGTGAAGCATATCTATTTGGTGCCTTCTTGTACCAATGTTTATGAGTTTAAATAAAAAAACAAAAGTTAGCATATACATGCACGTGGTTTTGAAAATAAGCTCAGTGGCCACTCGATTAAACCTTGAAACGCTAGAAGGAAGAGTGGACATAGTTATGAAGTCACTAAAATATCTAAAACAAACGTGCAAGTAAACGATGGTTTGAGGATACCTACAGTTAATAACACAATATTTGGAGGCTTCATTGGGTATTCTGAGGGCAAAAGAATTCTTCCATGATATAAACCGCCCTGAAAGTCAGAATCTTCAGGACCTCTTATCGTGAAGTGCCATTCGAACAGATTATCCTAAAAATTGTTTTAGAAAATACGGTGTCGAACCTCTAGAGGCTTCGCAAAGTATAGTTCTGTGGGCTCTGATAGTTCTTGTGCTTCTTTCATCAACCGTTTGACAGCTAATAACATAAAAATGATAAATAATTGCAGACTAACCTGGGTTTCGCGAATTATACGTCACAACCATGTTTTTAAAATTTTGTGTCGATTGTGACCTTGCATTTTATAACAGTTAAAAAAATTGTCCTGGGCCTTTTGAATTTGACCTAATAATTTAATAATAATCATGGAAAAATAGTTTTACTTAGTATTAAAAGCACGAAATTTGAGATCAAGGTTACTGTCCTTTTAGCAGACGTGTAAATAGTTAAATAATTTTGCTAATGACTATTGTAAACTTGTTTATGGTTTTGTGTTCTTGTCTCAACAATACAAGGCGGTTGCAGGTGTTTCGTATCATTAGATATGACAACTTCAGCCCCTGTCTGTAATAATCTGATTGAATATGAGAGTTAACGAAGGTTGGGATATTTTGATGTTAAGTACATTTATCCAAGCCGTTGGAATCATCGGAAGTAGTAACTGTCACGTCATTAGACAGAGCTTTTATGTCTCAAATCGATGACAAAAGGGGTGAGGCAAAATAAATGAGGAAAAGCGTTGGAGAAATACAGGCAAATAAATAACTTTACAATGATGTTTTAGTAAATGGAAAGGATGACAGAAAATATAGAGGACAAGAAGTATTGAGATGCTCCGAAACGAAGTTGAAGTAACATTACTAAAAGTCATAATAGCTTCACTTTATACACGCAAGTACCAGTTAGTCATTCACGAATAAAGAAAATGGTCTGTAACTGTATATATGATTGTGATGCTTCAATTAGAACCACTCAACTGAGAAGTCTTTTGTCTCATCAAATGAAAAAGATATGGACTGAGCACTTGATATGATTTTCATTGTTCCGGATGAACCCTCTTTAACGTAAAAATGGATTTCAAAGCTGGCGAAATCAGTTCACATTTTTCTTGTTTATTGAGCTTTCCGACTATTTTCTTCCTCATACCACGGCAGGAGTCAGCAGCGCGTATTTCTAGGACAACTTCGAGACCCGAAGCGGTAAATAAATCCTAAAAATACATAGCTCCGTAAGTCTTCGGCGTCTAGCTGAAGACAGTCGGTAATATTTATGCCATGCTTTGCATCTCATACAACCGTTTGCCAGCTTAGATTAAACGCATCTCGATAATATTAATAACCTTTAAAGTATATCTTCGAACATCTTGGCTTCCGACTTCTGAATTGACTGGGTTGGCACACTTCAGTTACAAAGGTGTTATGTGTGAAGGAGTTTTCGAAATCTGAATACTTGTGAAACATTTAGTATCTTGTGTTTTAGTAACCATATCTGCCAGTACTGCTAAAATATGGAAATGAGATTATTGTGAAGTGATTTATTTTCCATGACTGAAATTGAACACTATGTATAGAAACCGTTTTATGAAATCGGTTTCGGACTCCGTTTTGCTTTAATGACGAAGCTTCGTTCTAAACAGTATTCTGTCAGACAACTTACTAGGATAAAAGGCTTATATTTGAGGATTTAGAACATCGTTTCAAAGGTTTCCATTGGTCTTCAGAGACGTGGACGAGTTGTATTACTTCGAATACTATTTCCTTAATATTACTGAGTCATTACATATTGCTTTTTAATTCGTTGATAAAATCTGTTTATTTAAACTTAATGATGACGAAGAGACTAATAACCGCTTATTTGAAACATTAAAGTGATCCAGTCAAATTCCTAGAAAAAACTCCACTTTTTTAACGATATTTCAGAAATCGCGCACATTTATCTAAGATACTTATTATAGTCCCATGATTCCATTCCTAATTTGATGATGGCATAAATTCAAGTTTTGCAAGCTAACTGGAATCTCAATTAGTTTATTACTACATCTGGTAACATGCCCAGTAAATTAGCTAAAACAAAGGGTTCTCTGGTGATAAAATCGTACTACGCCAATGGTTCCTTTAATGAAATAATAGAAATCGCTCTATTACGCCTGGATCTGTCTTCTCAAAGTGTAATAAATATATTTTCATTACGTAATGAGGACTTAAGTGATATAAAGTTCCATTTCCTTCATTTGCCTTGGCCTGCTAAATAAATGACACACGTTTTCTCCATATGCTTTATTGGTCACGTCACCTGCTCCATATATTTACAGCGCTATATGATGTCCACTGTTGTCCTAAGTTTGTTTCGCTACAATAGAATTGTTGGATAGTCTATCACCAGTGTTACGTATAGTCGAGTACAATTTCTGGTGAGTCCTAAGTACCAGTGACAATACAAGTACAACCCAGTTACACAAAGGACTTGTTCTGATGTTATTTCGATTTTACTATTATGTCAGTTTATATGTTTCGACACAGTCTTATTATGACTTGAGTGGTTAATACTACCGTATACGACTTATCAGGCAGGGCATTGTCATCGACGTGGTTACTTTGGATGTAGACTGTAAGTATTTCAAGTTTAACCAACGTCCTAGAGACTTTCACCATGATGTGGAAAGGTTTTGTAGCTTTTACATATGCATCATATTTAGTGGTTTCAAAAATGTCTATTTAAAAATGATACTAATGCGAGAACCGTCCAGACGATAATGACAATAATAGCACGTTGTTCAATGGTATAACGTCAAAATTATATTCACATTATGATTATCTTCAGAGTGCGTTTCAGCATCATTGCAGAGTTATGATGAATTTATGGAATATAACAATCGTATAGCACATCGATTGCCGATGGCAACAAATATAGAAATATAGGTCAACACTTTATGATTAATTGATCAAGATTTACATTTTACGTAAATATCAGGCTTTCAAAGATATTTGTGACACTCCAAATACACAAAGTCAGGAATGAAAAATACAAAGTGAGTGGCAGAATAATAACATTGGAAATTCTAATGTTTATAAATGAACACCTACTCTCAGTGAACGGAAAGATGTAAAATTTACCCAACAATGATACTGAACGTTGATTAGATATGAAAGCCATCGAAATTGCGTAGTTAGTCTACAGTTTGTTGGTTTGTTCTAATAGAGTCAACACTTATTCAAAAGGCATTTTATACTATTATGATCGAAACACAAATAAAATTACCCTTATGACCCACTTACAATCTTTTTAGTAGTTAATTGAAAAATTTGTGGTATTTGTACAGACTAGTGATTGTTTTGAACTTGATTGCCCGCTGATTATGAATTCAAAATATGATACTTTTATTTATGCTCATCTAATTCCACATTAATTTGAATTCTTTTAGTAATCATATTGGTAGAGAGATAAAGCCTGTGATGGAACGTTAGATATATATATATTCAAGTTTTGAAAGTTTCGGAGATTACATGAAAACATTTGTTATCTCGAATATGATCATTGAAAATGTCAAGAGTGGTAAAATTGTATCCCATTTCCTTACACTCACTGGAAAGGGTGCTTACAGTTTACTATAATCTTGAGCAAGATAAGCCTATTTCACCTTCTTACGCAACTCTTAAAGTACCACTACTAAATCATGTGAAGTGTGTCAATTTGAAAGGTTTCATAAAATGAATCGTCAGAACGCTGAAAAGGTTGAAAAACCTATCCTTGAATCGTAGAAACAATCCACCGAGTGTAATTTTGATGATAAACGTCAGCTACGTGATCGGTTGATTTATGGAATAAATATTCTAAATTGTAGAAAAGAATTAACTCAGAAGCTCAAAGATTCATTCCAAGAAGTTAAAATCACATGTCTTTATTTATAAGGTTATAAATGAGCTTAATTTTCAATCGGTGAAAATTTCTCATACGTTGCTTAGTCGCTCGAACTCGCGTTTGGTTATTAATGGTTTTTGTTCTCATGGAAATATGAAGGGTGATTTACTAAAGAATAGCAAGGCAGATCACAGAGCAGAGCACAGGTTTTGCAAATGTTCATCTTGTGCCACTTTTCACTCACACAGTTCATGTACCTTTGATTATGACAAATTCTTCCAGCATGGTGAAACGAAATACATCAAGACGGACTGTAGAGCTACCGTTTGTTTTGCTACTAGTTGTGGTCAGTCCTCTAGTTTATTTTTTATTTATTTAAATGTAAAGGTGCCGGAGTTTGACAGCACCTTAACCATTAGCACTTTTATGATCTAAATGTGCCAATCAGAATTGAAAAATAAAGATGTTTGAATATATATTTAGTAAAATATCGATCTATCTAAAAGTGAACAATGTGAGGTAACTAGCGGTTGTAGGAGCTGTGTAGAATGACGAACCCACTCATGGTCTGGTGTGGATGCGTGGATGAGAGCATTAGGCTAGGTGAGTTCATTAAAACTAATGAGATTATCACCGAATGTTGAAGACGTACGGAGCTCTTGATTTTGAGGATTTATTTTCCGCTACAAAAATATGCTCAGATGGCATCACAAACAAACAACTGTAGTTTATTCATAATATACTAATTAAACTGGGTTACACACAAGGTTTTCCGAAGTAAAGCGTTCATACAATGAACAGAGAAGTAATGAAGTCGATGGTTATTAGGAAAACTATTTTTATCGGCCTACAATTCAACGGAGATATATCTAGTGATTCAACACGAGATTGCTTAAACCAACCAAGAAGAAGTTTATTACCTCTGACCTCTATCTACTACTTTCTAGCCTAATTACGATGATCCTTCAACAAAAGGTTGAGTTAACTGATATCTTAACAGTCTTATGAATCTAGAATTTCAGCTGGTTCTGTGATAAAAGCTATTTTGGGATAACAACCAGAAAAATTAGCCGACGAGTCAGTGTACACCCTCATTCGTGATTGGAAAAGAAAATGACAAAACAATACGCAGCTCTGTTCCATTACACCTCGTTGATAGAGGTCGTATGTTAGATAGAAACAAATGATTCTAATTAATTTATCACATACCTTCTCTCTCTTCCTGGTCTGAATTAGCTTTAAGATCTAGTTTTGTTCTTTATGATTCTTCATATCCTTTTTTCACTTGTTTTCATCCACCACATCATATCAAGTAGATGCTTTGCTTTCTAATTATTGAACAATCCTTATAATGCAATTCTAGTTTTATTTTAACATTATTTCAATGTCTATTTCTCCAAGCTCTTGA